CACTTATTTTGAGGCAGTGGTCTTACCCTGAGATCCCTTCTTCTTGCACTAAACATCAGAGAAGAATCCTAGCTAGGAACAGCAGAAGTGGGAGAGAAGTCCCAATCTGAGCAAAGGCCCACCTTATGTTGGGACAGCTTTTATTCAAGTAGGTGTATTTGTATATATGAGCACTTTAGCTTTGAGCAGTCACCCCATTTCCAGTTCCTGGTAACACTTTTCATCCATACAGTAAGACTGGAATGAAAGGATTCAAAAAGATGATTTGTTATAGTCCAAGCAGCACTGAAATCTGCTCACGTTGCAGAATCGTACATTTGATGGCCATCCCTGTCTTATAAATTGTTGCCATTTTATCAATAATTTGTTGGTTAGTTTTTCTTTGGCTTGGTACATTAACATTGTTTTTCTATGATTATTGTTTTTACAAATGCTGTTTGATAGCATGAGTTTAATCTTTGCATATATTTATGATATACTAAGAACATGTAACCGTGAATTCATTTTTTTGGAACAAAGGGGGTATGCTTATTAAAAATAAACAATAAATAAAATATTTTAAATTAACAATTAATTGTTAAATCAGCATATTGATGAATCTGTTTAATATTTGAAAGAGTATTATTCACCATTCTTATTTTACTTTGTAGGAAATGAGAGATGCTTTTATAAAAGAAGGTGGGCAGCCCAGATTACTGGTCACAGCTGCAGTGTCTGCTGGGGTAGAAACTATTAATGCTGGATATGAAATTGCTAAGATAGGGCAGTAAGTAGATTTCTCAGTCACTATTGGTCAAATTTACTGTGATTTTTAACAATAATTGTATAGAGAATTTATGACCTTTCTCTAGTTCAGCAAAATTCTGAGACATTTATAGCCATATGATTACACAAAGTATTTAAAATAATTTGTTAAACATGAAAAGGTTATTTACTTGTAAAAGTATTTAAAACCACCCTTTTGGCTCTAAAAAATACAATTGAAGCAATGGGTTTCCAAATACATATTTATACAAATTTGATACTAAGAATCAAATAGCCCCTTAAAGTCCTAAACATTTCATTCTGGGATGGATACTTTGATGGGTAAAGACTAGAGCATCAGAGAAATGGAATATTTGCTTCTATTTAACCTAAGGAAAAACCCTGATACCTTTTATTCAATAGATTGTAAGAATGCACATTGGAAATTGGTGGATTTTCAAAGAAAAAGAATAATTGTGGAGAAAAATATTTGAAATACTAGAATGAGTTGGCATGCTGCAGTCCTTTACATATTATATTAGATGCTAGAGTTGAACTACACCTCTCTTCTAAACCAGGAGTGGGCAACATGTGGTTCTCCATATGTTTTTGGACCCCAGGTCCCATGATCCTCCAACACTGCCTGTACTGGTTGGGATGAATACAAGTTGAAGTCTTAAAGGACCTGGGGAGCCATGTGTTTTCCCATATTCATTGTAAAATCTACAAGATCAAATGCCAGTCAGCATGTGTAAGATTGAGGTGATGTCTACACTGACAGGAAAATCCAGTTTACCTTTGGGTTACTCCAATCCTCAGTGACCATGG